CTAACGCACTTAATTATATATATTGGGCAAAATATGTCTATTGATTCTTTTAATGATACTATAATTTCTGTACATTATATTACTATTATTTGATATTTATTATTGAATAATAGCTAGATCAAGATAATGCCAACAAAGAAAATGAAAACCCTAGTTATTAATAAAAACATTTCTATTTCTACTTTTAAAAGATATTATATTATTTCTATTACAATTTTATTATATGACTCAAATATAATAATTTATATATATTTTATGGAAAAATTATCGTTCAAAATAAAATTTATTATTGGTTTTCCAACTGTTTATTAAATATTGATACAATTATTTACATTTATTAAGTATTTTTAAATAACCATTATCAAATAATGGTTCATACAAAATTTAATAACTGAAAGGTAATATTAAATAAAATATTTACCAGAGTTGTTAAACGCTACTTTTAAAAGTAGCGCGCTATCGCTATTTGTCAAAAAAAGTAGCTCGCTATTAGCTACTATTTTTTAAAAGTAGCTCGCTATTAGCTACTATTTTTTAAAAGTAGCTCGCTATTAGCTACTATTTTTTAAAAGTATTTAGCTACTTTTTATAAAAAAAATTTACAAACAAATTTTTTATTTTTTGCTTATAATGTTATTGTATAGTAAATATATAAAAATCAACATTTATAAATATTAAAATATAGTTAGTTTTGATTATAAAAAAATTTATGTAATAAAAATAAATATTTATGGTAATTTGTTGCATTTTAATAATAAAATCATTTCAATATTATCATCCCCAAGTCTAGAGCGACGATCAGAAAGTATAAGTTTTGCCTTATTAAATAATCTCTCGACACTAGCACTTGAGGGTAAGGGCGTATTTAATCTTATATACATATTTTTAATATAAGATAGATTATCAATAATTTTATTTGCAAGTACATCGTATGTCTGGCATCTTAATCATTTTGAGGGCTAATGCCACAGATCTTCTTTTTAAAGTTTTAGGGTCTAGTCAATGGCCTGTGATTCCCAAATAAGCTCAAAAATATTTAATCCGATCAATTTATAAATATAAATAAGTTTTTACCTTCTGTTATGTGTGATAACTCTACTATTAGAGCATCTTTCATCATTTTAAAGTTATCTGCTATTTTATTCATTAATGTCTGGCGGCATAAAATTGTTGTACCAGGGGGATAGAGTTTTAATCATCATGGTAAATGATGGATTATCAACTAAGGACATTGGCTGAACTGTATAAATTATAAAATTAACAATAACTTTTTCAGCCAATTTCTGAGAAATATTGTCATTTGCATTATTAATTAATTTGGTTTGAATTGAATTAGTCTTTTTGGATGTAGAGTCGCCTATACCAAAATTATTTAGATGTTTCTCCATTACCTTAAAACTCATGAACAGTCTTATAAAATAATTATTATTATAAAAATGACAATTTACCTTTAGGTGTTTCTTGAGGTTATAGCTACTGGATTGATTTGGGGAAATATTTTTTTTTACATTTTAAACAAATAAATTTGAAACCAGTTTTGGTTATATATTTATTTTAAAAAATTTTCAAATCTAGGGAATGGGAAATTTGTATTATAGCTATTAACAACATTTTCATCCCTTGGTATCTTCTATTTCATTAATATCATTGTCTGAATCACTTTCAACGATTTGGATATCCATAGGCGATGACATTTTAAATTATTAACACGTGATTTCGGTTTATAATACAAATGAAAATATAAATTACAAATTGAAATTATATTTTAATTTCAAAATTAAATAATAAATATTATAATTAATTATGATATTATATTTAAATTTTCATATTTATACTTACCTTCATTATATTTTTTAAAAGTAGCGAAGTAGCGGCTACTTAGCTACTTTCAAAAAAAGTAACGCACTAAAAAATTAAATAATTACAAAAAAAGTAGCCGCTATTAGCTATAGCTACCAAAAGTTAACGCGCTACTTTAACAACTCTGAAATTTACATATCTTTTAATAAATAATTGAACCATATCAAGCATTTTGAATATTTTAATTTTTTTAAAACTTAAATGTGTCCAAAGTGTTTTGTTTGCGAAAATTTTAAAATTTTTTCAAAACATTTTGGACGCAGCCTTAAGCATAAAAAAATATTCAATTTAAATTATGGATAGTTTATTTAATCAAATATATTATGAAAAAAATATAAATATTTGCAAAAATAATAATGAATAGACATTTCCTGGATTCAAACACGTTCTTCTTTGTTCTAAAACCTTCCAGCAATGGTTCAGAAGAAGAACTATTGCAGGAACTGCCAATAAATTTCTTGCTAATCTTAATAGCTTTGACAAATCTCTTTCTTGTCGTTTCCACCAATGTAGTTTTAAGTATACAAGAAAGTTTATTTATTTTAAGGAAAAAGGACATTTTAATTTTTAATATTCAAAAAAACACATAAGAACAATTTTGTATTAATATTTACTTAAATGATTTTATATTTTTTTAACCCGCCAACCCATGTTTAAAAATTTTTTTAACCCGCCCGCCTGCCCGTTTCTAAAATTTTTATGCCCGCCCAATGCAGACATCTAATCTGTAATAAGTGGGCAGGGTAAAAGATTTTAAACTTAAGGCAGGTGTGCGGGAAGGTTTATTTAAAACAATGGATGGTGAATTTAAAATATTATTCAGGTGAAATGCGCAGAAAAGACTTCTATTTATTAAATCGTATTTTATATCATAAAATAAAAGTTTGCGTTTTTTAATGAAATAAAAAAAATCTGCTTCTCTGTGTATAATTATGAGATAAGTTTGTGTGCAAAAGATTTCAAACCGTTTTTTAGAGGTTCGAATCAAACCAATATTATTGTTTTTTAAGAATCAAACCTGAACCGTTATTTTTATCAAATCAACTGATATTTGTTTCGGTTCATATCCCTGATCCTGAATTTATTTAAGGTTTCGTCTATTTTATTTTTCTATACTAATAGTACCGGATAGGGCTCAACCCTCCCCCCCCCCTCTTTTTTTAAAGTTATTTTTGCTTTAAAATTATGTTATTTCCCCAAGCTTGTCTTAAATAAGTGAACGAATTGTTTTTTTATAATTTATCCTATTTTCAATTTCCGTTATTATTACATTATTAGGGTATTTTTTCGTTATATTTGCCAAACCTATATTTTTTCTGCAAAGGGAAAAATAGATTTTTTAAATTTTTAACATTTGATCCGAATCGGGCTTTTTAAAAATTTCAGAATTTGTATATTTAAAAATAATATTGGTTTTTGATTAATCCTGCTTCTAATATATAGTAGACAGTATAGAGGAGTTACTAGCTTTTTACAAGGGCGTGCTTAAAGGTACTAATTTATTTTTAAAAAGTGCTACAATTTTTTTATTTACTCTATAAGAAATCACGTCATCGCTGTCATGATTGAAGATAAAATGTTGTGCATAAAAATATTCACATTTTATGCAAAAAAGCGCCATTAACCTTATAAATTTTTTAGATTGCGATCACTACTAAAATTGAATAAATTATTTGATGAACAAAAACTAATTTGATACTTGAAAAAAAAATAATCAGAAATTGCAGATACTTTTCTGATAATATCTTACAGTATTGAGTATACCCGATAGCACCGCTGCAAAAAAAAGGTTTCTTAATGATAAATAGGAAAAATACATATTTAGATATAAACAATATATATTTCACATATTATTTGTGAAAATTATATAAATTTTAATAAACAAATAATATTTTAGATTGAGATCTAATATTAATAAAAATATTAGTATTAGGGGAAAGAAGTAAGGAATACGGTAGTAGAGTCACTAGAAGGTGGAGCACAGAGGCTAGAGCCCATGAACAATTTAAAAAGCCTCTTAAAAAAATTTCAAAAATACTTTAACCCCTGAGATTGTAAGGGCTAGTGACGCCACTGGAATAGGGCAAATGTTCTATATTAATGCTTTCAAAATCTGGCAACACTATTCATCTCTTAAGATTAGAAAAATTTCAGACCGGACAGATATTTTTCAAAAAAAACTCGATCTAATTATTATCATTTTTTTTAAAAAAGTATTACACTATTTTATAATAAAAGGTTCCAACATCCAATTTGCAATAAGTAAAAAAAATCTATTTTTTTTAAAGAATAACAGCTGACAGCTATTACTCTTTGTTTTATTACTTGCAGCATGTAAATAATTTAAAAATATTTACGAGCCACGTTTAAGATAAACATTGGCAATGTTTATTTTGGGAATAAAAAAAATACTTATCATTCATGATAATCCACCTAATATTGCCGTGAAACCTAAAATTGCAAAGTATTTATTGTTTTGCCAATAGTCTACATAGTTAGTTTTTTTGCATAGAAAATATTGATATTTTATGACATGGTTCAAAGATAGATGGCAAATAAAACTCAATTCAAATATCGGCAGTATCTGTTCAGTTTCGTATGAATATTGAAAAATAGTAGATCGTCACAGCTAGTGTAAATGGCTAGATTTTTTAAAAAGGCTGTCCCAATATTTTCGCTAAAAAATTGTGTAAACCTAGAGATTTTTCTCATAGATTGCAGAAAGGTTTCGATATCTATTAACGAAATCTCGAAGTTTGCGTAATATTATATTGGTTAGAATCTTAATTTAAAATTGGCGAAATCGAGCCGCTTAACCACTCTATATATTATAATATATTAATGAGGGATCTGATAAATTTACAAAATAAAATAAATTAGAAAAACTCTTCGGCCATTACTAAAGATAAAACATTAATTATTCGTGACACCGGCATTGTAGGTAGTAAATTAAATGTTTGTTTTTCTGCCAAAAATAAAATAGTTTGTAAAAAAACAATTTTTTTTAAAATAAATTTATAAGTATGAAAAAGAATATAATAACAGATATATTTAACTAATTAAACAAAATAAGGTGGAAAAATAAACTAACAAAAAAACGCTGACCAACGAAGTAATATTTGGTATTTATAGTTGGATAATATATTCTTCCTACATTTTAGTATGAATGTTGGTTATTGAAAGAATTGTATCAATGATAAAATATAATAAAAAATTATCGCTTATAAAATACTTTATCTACAGAAATAATAAAAACTCCTTCTAGTTTACTACAGGAATATTTTAAACCAAGCTTTTAAACTGCATGGAATTGAAACATTAACATTACAAAACCATTTATATAAGAACGGGAATGACTTGAAATGGTTACAATTAAAATGTATAAAACAATAAAGGCCAAAATTTTATGAATGCGTGAAAAAAACAGTTAATATTTTTTACAAGGTTTGGGGTTAAAAAAACACATTTACGAGTGGATATTTCTAAGATACCAACTTACAACTAATATATAAATGTTGGATAGGAGTTTATGATATATAAATGCATATGACATCTATGCCATTTGCCATGTATAAATAAATTTAAAAATTTGAATCTAACATACAATTTGTTTAGCTATGAGATGCAATTACAGCTTCAAAGATAATATTACTTCCCCCTTAATTTATATAAGCTTTTGTTTCAACAGTTGAACCCCATAACCTAATATATATTATATAGTACAATATTCGAGTATATAAATTTCGCGGCAAAAGCAACAAAGATGTTTAAAAGATATGTATGTAAAATTATACAATGTTCTTTATACAAATATTTATATATAAGTTTTTCATGTTTCTAACTAATTAGCAGCAGATATAGGCGGTGCGAGTCGGCCTAAAAAACTGATAATTTGATAAACCAGGCCTCTTACAAAAGCTGGGCATCTTGGATTGGAAGAAAGCTCCAGAATCGCCATCTTCATCTCACTGAACATCATTCTTTTTTTATAGTGATAATTATTTTGATGAGTTTTTTAGAAATTTTTTTAGATGGTTATTATCTTGAAGGTAGGCCAAATTATTCATTATTCATATTCAATTCAAAATTAAGAATATCAAATTATTCATAAATTTCGAATCGAAAATACAAATATTTTTTTAGAAAATTTGAATAATTTATATTTTTTTATTGAATATTTTTTCTTAAAAACGAATTTAAAATAAAGGGTCATATTAAAAAACATATCAAGATTATAAATATATAGCGCATATATATATTTTAAAAAAAATAAATTAAAAAAAAACAATATCAAATTTTAGATAGGGTCACATTATCAACACTTTGATAGTTTACTTAGTGATATGATGGCCTTTTTACAAAAATATCAAATAAATTGAGTCAAGGAGACAATTAAGTAAATATACTTCTTATATATACTAAGAGAATGGATATTTATAAAAAAAAATGAATTAACACTATCATTCTACTTAAATTATTATTTTTCGGCATTTTAAATTTTGAAATTTATGGAAAACTATTATTAATATATTATTTGGAATGTTTATTATAAGCAATTATCATTACCTTTTTTTAGATTATCCAAATATATATTTTAAAAAAATTAAAAAATGTAGGTTGACTAGAAATTGTAGTTTAAATTTTATTTTTAACTCAGAATATTTATTCACTTATTATTCCATATAATTATTATTTAGATTGTAAGACAAAATAAAATTATTCGAAACAAAAACGAATAGTAAATTATTCGATTCAATTTTCTGACGGTCTAACTCTGTTTTATTTTAAATATTTTTTTAAAACTACAAGCACATGTTTTTTGTTTTAAAATGTAAGCTCAACCAATAAATCACGTAAGAAAAACAAAAATTTTCGACTTATATAATTATAGGGAAATGAGAAATTCCGCTCGACTATGTTCCCTACAGTAAAAAGCCACACTCCAATTTCTGATTAATTCTGGACTCCCAAATCGGGCATCTTATTTTAAGAAGAATTGTATTCAAACTTTTAAAATGATTTTCCGGGCGGTAAATAATGTAAACAAATGAATGATATAAGTTTTTTTTAATATAGCAAAAATTTCATTTAGGCATCTGCTCAAACCAGGCCAAGAGATTTAAATTACTATTACATTGCGAGGTTATATTGAACAAAATAACGTAGAGTAGAAATTCAGATAAATCTCATTATCAACAGTTTTGAATATTACCCTTACTTAAAATGCTGTCTGCATTGGAAGTCCAGAATAAATTTTTATCAATTATTCTTATATAATTTACCTGCAATAAGGATTTCTCCTAGCGGCATAACGCAATGTTAGGAAACGGTAATACATGAAAGGAACGAACAAGTTACCTTTGCCACTTATAATTTATGAAAATATTAATATGTAGTGATTTATGTTTATGATAGTTTAACTTAATATTTTCAATACCCCCAAATCTCAGCCCAAAAATCCCACGGATTAGTTTTTAATCCATTCATATTTGCTTCCATTACTTGCCTCTGCCCCCCCTACTCCCTCCCCCAATGTTTTATCCTTTATTTCTTTTTATCGTCATTTCATTTACATAATAAGTATTTGAAAGATAAAGTAACGAATAAATAATTTACACAAAAACGCTGGCGATTATAGCGGGCATCAAAAATATTTCGGTGCACGCTATTATTCTCAACAGAGATATTTGCTGTAAAGTCACCTTAGACATCATGTTTCTCACTGCGGTCACGTTCAAGCGGAAAGCCTAAAAACGGTTTATATATTTTAAAAAAAGTAAATAAAGGGGATAGCAGAATAGAAAGAATAAATATAATAGTGATTAACAAAGTAAAGGTCAAGACTATAATTAAGGAGAGAATAGAGCTCAGGTTCATCAAAAGTTAGTATTCTTTTAATATTAAAATAAATATTTTTTATTCGTTTGTGAATAATTTTATTAAAATAAAATAAATAAAGAGACAAAACAACCAATCAAATAATTTAAATAATAAATGGGCAGGAGGGAAATCAATTTTTAAAAGCAAATAGTTCAGGGCAAACCAGTTAAAATTAGTTATCAGTTTGATGGGTATAATAAATTAAAGGAAGAATAAATTACATAGTTTAATTAAACTTGAAGTAATTAATAAAAATCATAAATAATAAACTCTTTTTAAAAAAGAAAAAAGATTCGATTCGAAAAAATAATAAAAACTTACATCTAGAACTCGTACACTGAAAATGATGGAATGTAGTAAAGCGTACAAAACTGGAGGAACTATCACGACTAAAAAAAATAATGTTAAAAACATATAGTAATCGCGAATAAATAAAGATGTCTGATCAAATTAACTCGAACCACGGCAGTCTCTGGTCTATTGACCATTTTATCTTAATTCTGTTATATTATCTGTTGACGGTGCAGTATACTCCACTTTACGAACAAAATGGTTGAGAGGAGGCGATAAATTATCCAAAGATATTAATGGGAAGAAATTAGATTTTCATCAGTCATTATTCCGTAACTACTATCTTATCTATGCCATTATTTATTGGTATTCTTTGTAAGAAATCAAATGCCAATTTATCTAAAGATATTATTGGGAAGAAATTAAATTCCTATCAAAGTCATTTTTCCGTAATATGTTTTGCTTTATGGCATTCGCTGGAAAAAATTTAAATCCTTGTATAAAATTATTCAAAAATATCTTAATATTTTTTTATCGCCGATACTGGTTGGTAGAAATTTTATTATTATTCCAGGATATTCAAATAATTTTTAGGAGATCATATTTGAAATAATGGAATCAAATTTGCAAAAATATTTTTGTATAAATTGTTTATATTATATTCTTATTCTAATGAAAGAAATATAAAATTAGCGGTATTACATGGAAATTGTAATAGCCGAAGGAAATTATAATAAAATGTTAAAATAATATATTCTATTCTTGATTCTAATTGGAGAAATATAATATTCAAGATTTTACAAATATATGATGAAATATTAAGAAAATATATTCTATTCTTATTCTGATTAGGGAAATATAAATATACGGTATTACAGGGAAATTGAGCCGGAGGAAATTATATATTTTTTATTCTTATTCTTGAGACGAATCAAACGGCGTCCTCCTATAGACAAAAAAGCCGCATTTCTTTATTCTTATTCGGGAGACGAATCAAACGTTGTCCCCACATGGACAAAAAAGCCGCATTTCTTATGGGGATTTCGTAACAAAGGCGATTCCAACGGCTCCTCCTATGGACATAACGCCACATTTCTTAATTCTTAGAATAAAGTCGTTAGAGGTAAGTCATTTTCTGCGAAAATTTAATGGACAACAAGGATGTGCAGAATGTATAAATATATAGTTTGGAGTAAGTGAAAAACGTCCTATGTATATTTATATTTCCTATATTATTGGTCATGCACTAGGTTAAGTAATGGGTGGCGTGTTGTAGTTTACATTTTTCAAGATATATTTTATTTGATAAAGTGATTTATTTTAGCAGATGTATTAAATTCGTAATAGCGGATTGATTATATTTATTACATTATAAAAGAAATTGTAAAGAACACTTTATGATTTTGGTAAACTCTTGATAATTGAATTTATTTTAAAAAGAATAAAAAGAGTATCAGAAATACTCCTAAATTTAAAATAAAATATCCCTCGTTTCTCTCTTCAAGTTATCCATTCGTTTTTTTACAATTATAAAAATAATATTCATAATATCATACATGTAAATTTAATATTTAGCGAAATCAAAGGAATTGTAACATGCATATATGATGATTTTTGGTGGTTAGCTTTTACATAAAAATGAAATATCAAAAGAAATATATATCATTCCTGCATCCACATGGGCCATCACCTTCATTCTTTTGTCCAACAATTTTAAAAAAAATATGTGTAATTAATATGTTCAGCATTAACATAATATTATAATTAATTATTTCCACCTTGAGCTGATCTTGTATTACTAAATAAAAATTAAAAAAATATAGGATATATTTATTCATTATAAGTTTTAAACAATATTTTAAAACAATAAAAGTTGCTGGGTAAATGAATTATGCAACAAAGGATAAAAAATATTTTCTATATAAATATTTAAGAATTCTTTATCCGGTTTTGCAATTGCTTCCAAGGTAGTCCTATTGACAAATATCCACTATTAGATCATATTATAATCTATGTCATTTTAAAAGAATATTCTTTTTAATAGAAACATCGCCAGTAACATATGTAGGTATACTTATTGATTTTTTTATTTTATAAAGAAATATCAGTTGCTTAGGTTTGATATATATTTTACGTGTGATTTGCGAGGAAAAAAGAAAAATCATGGAATAAATGAGATTATGGCAGCTATCTTCTGTCAGAATGTTGGCCAAAAATTCACGGGAAGGTCTAAATCTAGGGAGCCGAGTGTGAAGTCGGAGGGCGTTAATAGCTCCATTACATAAGAGGATCCTTTGGTACCACTGAGTTTGCTTTCTAAAAGTTGTAGGAGAAAAAATAAATTGAGTTAAATTTTTATATTTTACTTTCCTACACACATCATTTATATACATATCAAATTTTATAAAAATAAAATATCTTTTTAATTATAGCAAAATTTAGTTGTCATTAGGGCTGTGCCGATATTAAATATCGGATCGGCACCGATACTACGATATTTTTTTAATTGTCTCGGTTATTTTATGATTACATATAATCATATAAATATATTTTATAAATAATTTCATAATAAATTAATAAAAGGAACTAAAATACAATTTATTTGCTATATTATCTGCGACAAGAAAAAGATTTTAAAATATCTAACGAGTCGCATTCAGGTAGTGTTGCTAAATAGCTAGATTTTGTCAATTTTCAAAAAGGTACTCAAGATTTTAGCCAAAAGTAAATTACTCCGGCTTAGACTATTATGAAAATTTAGTAGGTAACAATATTTTGGTTAATTTGTTTTAGTCTTTTTAACATTGCAAATATTTAAATAAGATTGGCAACTTTTGGAGAATAAAAAAAATAAAATAAATCATTGTAAGTTGGCTAGTTTTAAAAAAATATAAGATAGATGGTAAATAAAAATTAATATAAATATTGGATAGGTATCAGATCTGTTTTTTTAGTAATATCGAAACGGATCGGTGAAAAATTTGTGGATCGGTCAGCCCTAGTAATTATAAAACTTACATGTTGAGCATTCCATTTCAAATCAATCACTTTACAACCTGGCCATCTCAGATTTTGCTAAAATTTGGCATATACGATGAAGTGTTGTAATTGACGAATCCAAAAGATTAGCCCCCTAACTCCTAGCACAGGGGATATATAGTTTCAAAGTGGCTCTGCTTGGTCATTTTTCGAAAATGATGATAACTTTAATATTAGATGCACTATATACCTATCATGGCTCATTTTATAGCCCTAAGTAAACTCTTCCATTATAATTTTTTTTCCAAATTTCAAATATTTTGTAAAGAGTACCAAGAACTGTTCTTATATAAATTTTCAGAGTGTTAAAAAAAAGTTAAGTAGGAAAAATGCTTAAAAAATAGCTTGATGGCGTTAATAATTTTAAATAGCTTAAAACTTAATTCTTAAAAATATCAGTCAATCTATTTTTTTATTCTATAATATAATATTTGTTAAATAAAATAGCATTTTGTAACAAAAATAAAATTCTCGATAGCACAAGTAATTTAAAATAGCTAAAACCTATGTTTTTATTTATTCTATAATTGAGTTCTTCCTTAGGTCAAAAGGTTGACGACAGTTAGAATATCATTTTTTGGAAGAATAAGAATATCAGGTATTGAAGGATAATAAAAGGAATTAGAAGGTCCATTAGGGTGTAAAAATATTATCTTTACCTCATCAGCACTAATAATAGCTAGAATATAGGCCACCACCATTCATTATCATAAAAGCACGTTACACACCCTTTTATATCATTAGTTGATATCTCGCCTATTAGATTTTGAATATTTTGTTATTAATGCTGATGAGATAAAGGTAATATTTTTACACTTTAATGGGCCTTCTAATTTCTTTTATATACCTGATATTCTTATTCCTCCGAAAAATGATATTGCAACTGTCGTCAACCTTTTGATCACTACAGGAAGAACTTGTAATTTAACTCGTGAAGTCCAAAATGGCCATATACAAATTAAATTTAAGGAAATTAATATAACTAGCCTCTATACTATTATAGGTAATTTTACTATGAATTAACTCAATAAATATTAACGAATAAATAAAAACATCTACTGCAATATTTTACTAAAATAAGTGTTATAGCTATTTTAAATTAGTTGCCCTACTAGCGGAAATTTTATTTTTGTGACAAAATGTGATTTTATTCAACAAATATTATATTATGGAATATAAAAAAGGTAGATTAACTAGTGTTGCGTAATCGGCTAAAAACTACGCCTAAGCCTAATAAGGCTAAGCCTAAAAATCGGCTCTAAAAATCGGCTAAGCCTAATTAGGTTAAGCCTAAAAATCGGCTAAGCCTATATAAATCTGCTAAAATTAAATTAGTCAAAATTCTGCGATGTATTAATTATAATTTATTTATTTTAGTAAAATAATTTATTTTATTTATATTTAATGTAAATATTTTATTATTATCAACAAATAAACATATGATTTAATATTTTTTATTTATATTATTATATTTTGAAATGAAAATAAATTTATTTATTTGATGTTATTTTAATAAAAAAAATAATATGCTGCTATATTGTAAAAATGTAATATTCTTTTTAATATAATTTATTAGTGATTTTCACAATCTTCTTTGTAAATACATCTTTAATTAAAGAATTATATTGTAAATTTTAATAGATAAATAAATTTAGGTGAAATCTTTTATAAATTTTTTTTTATCAATTTTGTAAAATTATCTATTTTTTTATTAAATGAGGTGTTTTTTTTAAAAATATTTATATTAAACTTTTTTGATGTTATTTTTTATGATCTTTTTAAGGATAATATTTTTTAATGTGAGAATTGTCATAATCGTTATTTTTAAAGTTTTTGATTTTTTTTGAAGAAAATATGTTTAAATAAGTACTGATAACATGTTTAAATAAAATTTAGTGAAGATGTACCATAGATAAGTGACAATTGTCATAATCGTAATTTTTAAAGTTTTTTGAATTTTTTTGACGTAAATAGGCTAAAATAAGTATTGATAACATGTTTAAATAAAAATTAGTGAAGATATATCATAGATAATTGACAATTGTCATAATCGTAGATTTTAAAGTTTTTTTCAATTTTTTTGACGTAAATAGGCTAAAATAAGTATTGATAACATGTTTAAATAAAATTTAGTGAAGATGTACCATAGAGGAGTGACAATTGTCATAATCGTAGTTTTTAAAGTTTTTTGACGTAAATGGGCTAAAATAAGTATCGATAACATGTTTAAATAAATATTTAGTGAAGATATATCATAGATAAGTAACAATTGTAATAATCGTAGATTTTGAATTTTTTTGAAGAAAATATGTTAAAATAAGTATTAAAAACATGTTTAAATAAAAATTTAGTGAAGATGTACCATAGAAAAGTGACAATTGTCATAATCGTTATTTTATAAGTTTTTTGAAGAAAATATGTTAAAATAAGTATTGATAACATGTTTAAATAAAATTTAGTGAAGATGTACCATAGAAAATTGACATTGTCATAATCGTTATTTTTAAAGTTTTTTTGACGAAAATATGTTAAAATAAGTATTAATAAGATGTTTAAATATAAATTTAGTGAAGACAATGAAGTGACAATTGTCATAATCGTTATTTTTAAAGTTTTTTAAATTTTTTTGATGAAAATATGTTAAAATAAGTATTAATAAGATGTTTAAATATAAATTTAGTGAAGACAAAAAATTGACATTTGTCATAATCGTTATTTTTAAAGTTTTTTTGAAGAAAATATGTTAAAATAAGTATTAAAAACATGTTTAAATAAAAATTTAGTGAAGATGTACCATAGAAAAGTGACAATTGTCATAATCGCTATTTTATAAGTTTTTTAAATTTTTTTGACAACAAAATAAATATTAATAACATGTGTAAATTTAAAAATAACGATTATGACAATTGTCGCTTATCTAGAGTACATCTTCACTAAATTTTTATTTAAACATGTTATGAATACTTATTTTAAAATATTTTCGTCAAAAAAATTCAAAAAACTTTAAAAATAACGATTATGACAATTGTGATTTTTCATTGGTACATCTTCACTAAATTTATATTTACACATGTTATTAATACTTATTTTAACATATTTTCTTCAAAAAAATTCAAAAAACTTATAAAATTTCTATGGTACATCTTCACTAAATTTTTATTTAAACATGTTTTTAATACTTATTTTAACATATTTTCTTCAAAAAAATTCAAAAAACTTATAAAATAACGATTATGACAATTGTCAATTTTCTATGGTACATCTTAACTAAATTTTTATTTAAACATGTTATTAATACTTATTTTAACATATTGTCGTCAAAAAAATTCAAAAAACTTTAAAAATAACGATTATGACAATTGTCACTTTTCATTACTAAATTTATATTTACACATGTTATTAATACTTATTTTAACCTATTTTCTTCAAAAAAATTCAAAAAACTTATAAAATAACGATTATGACAATTGTCACTTTTCATAGGTACATCTTCACTAAATTTATATTTACACATGTTATTAATACTTATTTTAACCTATTTTCTTCAAAAAAATTCAAAAAACTTATAAAAGAACGATTATGACAATTGTCACATTAAAATATTATCCTTAAAAAGATCATATAAAATAACATCAAAAAAGTTTCATAAAATCCACCTCATTTAATAATAAATAGATAATTTTAAAAAAATGATAAAAGATTTCACCTAAAAGTTGTTTATTTATCTAATAAAATTTCCAATATAATTCCTCAATAAAAGATGCATTTACAAAGGAGATTGTGAAAATCACTAATAAATTATATTAAAAAGAATATTACATTTTTACAATATAGCAGCATATTATTTTTTTTATTAAAAAACATCAAATAAATAAATTTATTTTCATTTCAAAATATAATAATATAAATAAAAAATATTAAATCATATCATGTTTATTTGTTGATAATAATAAAATATTTACATTAAATATAAATAAAATAAATTATTTTACTAAAATAAATAAATAATAATTAATGCTAAGCATCGATGCAGAATTTTGACTAATTTATTTTAGCCAATTTTTAGGCTTTACCTAATTAGGCTTAGCCGATTTTTCCACCTAAAATCTCGGCTAAGCCGTTTTGTAGTCGGCTAAAATTAGCCGATTACAAAAAATAAGTTTTGAGCTATTTAAAATTATTTACGCCATCTAGTGGTATTTTTATTTTAAGAAACCTGAAAATTTTTATATGATTAGTTCGTGGTACTCTATAAAATATTTAAAATTTGGATTATAAATTAAAAATTCATTTACTTATACGTGGAAGAGTTTACTTAGGGCTATATGAGCCATGATAGATATATAATATATATAGTGCATCTAATATTAAAGTTATCCCAATTTTAAAAAAATTCTTTTTTTTCGAAAAATGACCAAGCAGAGCCACTTGAGACCCTATATCTCTGGTACTTGTGGAGTTAAGAGGTTAATATTTTGGATTCGTCAATTACAACACTTCATTAACTTATATACCAAATTTTCGCAAAATCTGAGATGGTCGGGTTGTAAAGTGATTGATTTGATATGGAATGACCCATGTGATTTGTTTTGATTGCATTTGCAAGATAAAATCGAAACGTAATTATATACAAACCCAATTAAGGGGAAAAGGAAAAAGAAACCAGATACGAGTGTTATGAGCCGTAAAATCCATAAAATAATGTTTATCCTTTCAACCACCAAAAATTGCTAAAAAAAATAGGTTAAATTTTTAAAAATATAAATTGTATGTAATCACATTTATCTCTTTCAATTGCTCAAATATCTCAACATTGTTTTCTTTTATTGCTGCTATGAAAACACTGTTAATTAGCTGTTGGATCGAGGCAAATGCCCTGACTCATTTGGAGGATTTAATTATAAAAATCGAGACTTAGCTGCAAATTCAATGTTTTTTCTACACATACCCTGCCCGAAATTTTTATTTAAAAGTTGTAAATTATAAACCATTTTTATAAAGTTTAGTATAGTTTTGTTAAATTAAATTAAACTATGTAACTTTGGTCAACTCAAATATGGATTAGCCAAGCTTTGAGCCTAATAAATCGACTCAAATGTCTAAGTTGAGCCTCAACTTAAAACTGTGATGAATTTGTTAGGATAAAAATTTGGCAAGGCCATTTTTTTGAGTTCTCTAAAGTCAGGGTGATTTTCCAACATTAAATTAATAAAATAAAAATCCCGGATTGTTTTGTCCAAATCCCAGAGAAGTTCTAAATTGTAATTAAATAAGAGAAAAATTATTTTCAATTTTTAAAATTTACATTCCTCTGCAAATTTATTTTTTTTAACGTGAACCCAACCCAAATTTTTTATATTTATTTTTAAATCTACTATTTTTTATTAAAATTTTAGGCCAATTTTAAAAAATAAATTCTAAGTTTGAGTTAGGTCAACTTGCAGCTAAGTTATTGTATATATGATTTTCAGAGTTTCAAAAAAATCTTATATCACAAAATTAAAAGGATCAAAAAATTTTTTTAAAGAATTTTAAGTGAAATTTGAACAATAATTTGAGAATTCTAATTTTCTTAAAAAACTTCTCCAATATCAAAAATCTTTGAAGATTATTTTATTTTATTCTCAATTAATCGGAAAATTTGGCCAAACCTGTCTAATTTTAAATAAAATTTCACTATTAAATTTAATCATTCAAATGTCAATCGAGCTTAAAATTTTTTATCTTGTAAATATCAAATTTAACTTAATCCTAAGCAACCATTTTCATTTAATTTTTTTTAATTGTACCCCCCAAGAGCTTGAACCAGCAGAAGTAGGTGCAGATTCTGTGGTATGAGACGTGGTGTTAGCATGGCTGTCCCCTGATGGGAATGAGCTATCGTTTGTAGACATGTCTTCAGGATGAGGGGCCATTTAAAACAATAATACCTTTTTTTGTAAAAAAAAAATTTATTTAATAAAAGACAATCCAAAGAAATCCTCAAGCCCTCCATATTAAATAATAATCAAGTTATCAACTTATAGATAATATAGATCTTTTTATACAAATTTTAATGCTTTAACCCTTTATAACAGTTTTTTTTCAAAAAAATATGCCTCCAAGTCACAAGATATTTTAATTATTTATTTCTTTCAACATAAAATTTATACATTTTGACAGTTAATTACAAAATTTTCCTACACACCCCTAGTAACCAACCAGTTTTAAAAAAATATCTTTTTCCTGCCAATTTTTTTTTAGCAAAGAATGAAGACTTCTTTTAAAATAAAATTATTTTCTAAAAAATTTATGATTTCATTATAATACTTTTTATAATTTGGAATTTTAAGTAAAATTTCATCAGAAAACTATTTGGCCATTATCAATTTATATTCTGAAGAGCATTTCTAGCTCATCATTAGAAATAAAATGTATATTTTAAAGTTTAAGAATTTTCTCTGAGGTGTGTTATGGATGAATCAAAGCATCAGCCCAAATTTTAAATGTCATATATTTAAACTTTAGATTTCTAGTATATTCTTTAATAATAAATGTTTTGTAATTATATTAATAAAAATGAATTTAAGATATTCATTTTATAATACTAAATATTTTTAAATTAAATTGAAATAGGAATAATAATAAATGTCTTATTTTAATTATTTCTTTGTCAAAATGAAATTGAAATGACTTAAATATTTTCTTATTAATAAACACCACTTATCTTTTCTTGACCACTTAAAATTTTTTGTTCTGCTATTTAAAACACCTAAAAAATGTATTAACCAGTAACTACTAACTCCACAAAATATAGCCATTTAATGATGGCATAGTAGGGAATAAATGCAAAAATATGATAGATGCACTTTAAAAAAAAGAAGTATAGCAAAAGAGAAGTGCATTAAAAATCAATAAATGTTGTAAAAAAACAATAGTAAAAATAAAAATGTTATTTTATTAAAATTAAAGTCAATTCTTTAATTTAATTAAAAAGAACCCAAAAATAATAAGAGCAAAACAAAAAAAGTTAAAATAAAATATTTAATAGTTCCTGATTTTTTTTTGGATCCAAGCCTAAATGAAGGTTGTAATACTGTTCAGTTTTTTTATATCAGCTTTTTAATTTTGGTTTATGACCTGGTCTTTTTTTATTTTAGATCAGTATAGATCTTTGACTTTCACTATTTATAACATACAAATTATTACAAATAAACATAAAAAAAGGTACATATTTTGTACTATGATTATCAAAGGATTTGATTTTGTGATACAAACATTATGATATAGAAGGTGGAAGTTCAGATATATATTACAAAATTATTTACATGAGACTTAAAACTATGATTTTGCTTAAATATTTACTTTTGATATGATAGTTTACCAAACAAATAGGAATAAAATCTACACAATAAAATTTATTCAAATAATTGTTCTATAATTAATATATAAAAGTAAAAAAGTATACATGTCTAAAATTATAGATAATGGAGGAAAAAAATGTTTGATTTGGGTTAAATTTGATATATAAATCATTATTTAATAATTGTAATATGGCTTTTTAAATTTTAACAATTAATTTATCAAGTTAACCTTCGACAAAAACATCGAAGTTTTGTTTCATTGCTGCCAAAAAATATGGTATAGTCTTTTCAACTGATATAATATTTCCCGATATTTGAGATAATGAAGTTACATATTGACAATCAAATTTATTTGAATGACCATCATCTGTCAAATATATTTTAGAGTTAGCAAGTTGTTTTAATCCACATGGATCTATATGATCATACCAACTGAGATCAACATTACAATTTAGAGCTATTCCATGACTAGTTATGTAATTGGAAAACCTCACTCCTATAGCACCTACTTTTTCAGGTTTTAGTTCTAAAAAATATTTAGATACTAATTCTTCATTGTAATTAATTACTCCTTGATTTTTAGGTGATATAAAAGTTTTTTCATCATAATTTTTCATATTAAACTTTATATCATCAATGCTATGGCTAGCTATATTTATAAAATCATTATTTGGAGCTATATGCCAAGATCCAGTTAAGGTAGAGGGAGTTATTTTACTAAAAATACTTTTAATTCCTAATGAATGGCAAGTCATTGTCATAGTATTTATCATTAATTCCACAAATCTTTTGATAAAATTAACATCTGTGTTGTGTGATTCATTTGGATTTAAATTTGTAATATTTTTTGTTTCAAAATTTTGAATGAATTTATGACCAAATATTTTTCTAAGATTAAATATTGGATATGCTACCAATTGTCCAGGACCATGAAATGTAATTAGTCCACCTCTATTTGTTTCAAAATATTCTGCACCCAATGATATGAGTTTATCTTTATTAACTATAAATTTTGATGTGTGCCTTTGATTTATCTGAGATTTATATTTTCTAATACCAACTGTATAAACAGGATAATGTTCAAGTAATATTAAAATGCCACCAAATTTAGAATTTATAGAGTGTTCCATTTCCAAAATTTCTTTAGCTTTATCTTGTAAATCCAATCCATTTTTGTATGAAGATCTACCTACTTTCCATAACTTTATATATATATCCCTCATGAACTCTATTTTTTGTGATATATATTTTATTTCATCAGGCTTGATATTAAATTATATAACAATGAAAATATAATATATAATTACTTAATTAAAAGTGTTTACCTTTAATAGTCTTGGTCGGTGCTATAAAAGGATTAATGAATATAAAAAGTTTTATATTATTCTAGTGCTTTACGTCATCGACTAACATTGATAAAAAAATAAAAAATTTGTTATACAATGCTTATTGAAAATATTATAAGAGAAAAGGAGCTAATATTATAAATATCTATAAAAACAAAAAATTACAGTATGAATAAAAAAAATATTTACACATATTTTTTATTTCATGAAAATCTTTAAGCTGGGTCTTAATGTTGAGGTCGATTTTGAAGAATTGCCTGATTACGATCTTAGCCAAAATAATTCTATTGAATCCTGGAGATTTTGCTCTAGTTGGTAGATAGGTTTGTATGTTAATTTACCAAATCTCGAGGCTTAGATAATATTATTTTAACAAAAATTTTAATAGAGGGGGTATGTGAGTGTGAGGGGTGTATCCAAAAGACGAGCTAGTGTAAAATTTTTAACCCCATCGTAAATTTGCCTGCTCTCGTAAATATCATATTAGGCGAATAATTTTTTTATCTTGACCCCCCCCCTTCAATATATGCAATGACAATATCTAAACTCAATAAATGTTCAACGGATGGAAATTTTTAAAATTAGATAAAATATATTTAAAACTAAAGTAGCAACTGAAGTATAAAGCATGATCAAAAGTTATAGAGATATGAGTTAGGAATCATTAAAGGTTGATATATCATTGGGTTAGAGTTAAACATTTTTATTAAATAACCTGACAAATCTAGAATGATTTAGTTTTAGTAATAAAAAATCTCGAGGATAAGCAAAACCTTCTCAATACACTCAATAGTCTGCCATAGAGTCGGATTGGATGTAAATTTCAACAAAACCGTAATTCTCTCCATCCCATACCATAAGCATCAAGAATTGTAAGTTTAATGATAGACAAACAAAAATCAAAGTGGTGACCGTAAAATCTTGTATTTAAATCCCAAATAAAATATACATTCACTACTCAATATAATAATAAGAAAAAAAATAATCAATTACTATACAAGGCTTAAACTAAATTTATATACAAACAATTTATATTTAAATAGCAAAACAAAATATACATTTTTAAACAAAACAGTGACTTAAATCAAATTCCTTAGCGTAACCGTGGGAAACAATTGTAGCTGCAAGAACGAATTAAAAATCACAAAACTGAATGCAATAAGAACTTTCAATAAATATTTGAAACTAAAGTAAAATATGGAGATTTTCAGGGGCGTCACTAGTCTTTACAATCTCAGGGGGCTCAAAAAACTTTTTAAATTATTATCAAAATTACCATTTTTTAGTTAACATTATCTGAAATTACCTTTGTTTTTTAGCTGACATTATCCAAAATTATCTTTTTTTTAGTTTCGCTAACTATCCAAAATCATCTTTTTATTGCGGTAAAAAAAATTCAAATTTTGAGGGGCTCTTCTAATTTTTCCTGCTCGCCTCCCCAAGTGTCGCTAGTAGAGATTTATTTAATCACGAGGATCTCTTAGATTATCATGAGCATATTCACGAAAAGTAAAATAATATGATCAGATATCTCAAGATTCCCTTCGTTATTCTCAAAGCTTTCATAACCTTCTATAAAAATAAAATTAATTAAATTTTTTGAAGTAATTAAACCTTCCAATGATTACAAATGTCTTGATCATCCAGCATTACATGACAGCTAGAATAATCATTTGAGTAAACCAAACCAATAAAGGTGCTTCTGTCTTCGAGTAACAACTCAATCTAACTCTTTTAGTTGCAAAGGGTTTATTCCTTAGAAATTGTGAGCATATACTTGCTTTATTAGCTTTCAATCTGTAAATTGTGGAAACATGACATTTATAATTTAGCGCTAATTGTGTTTTTGAAGTAGTGGTTAATTTATCAATGATTTCCTTCTTTTCCTTAAGAGTTACCGTTTGGAATGATGTTTAATTCTAAAAATAATTTCAACATGATTATAATATAGAATAAAATTGCCTTTTTAAAAAGTTAAAGGTGCAGATCATGTAAAAAAAATCGCGAATTTTTCGTTAAATTTTTTTTATTTTTACACTTATCCGATTAAATTAACGTTATTGTCATGTAAATGAGGCCTGAAAAATTTCTCAATTATCAGATATTTCGCAATTTACCGATTCGTAAAACATTATGCTATAGTAATTTTTATCAAAATTTTAAAAGTGTTTGGACTTAAGCGACATACAATTAAACGGTTTAACTGTATATATATTACACAGGTGTGAGTAATATCATATTTAAAAATATAAGCCTTATGCGGCTTGCCTAAAAGTATTTTTGAATAAAGGCCAGGTCAAAATCCCGTTATTTGCAAATCTCTAAATTACATTCTTACGGGAAAAAATCAAGAACAAGATATGAAAATTCTTGGTTTATTGTGACGATTGCTATGGTTTATTTAATAAAGTCGATAGAGTACCTACTAAATTTTTGTTACATATCAATAATCATATCTCAAAATTGAGATCCTTTCCCAAACACCAGTCTAAAATAGTTGCGGGTACGCTTTAATTTCACATTATTTTTCTATGGTACATAATGATTATTACCTATATCAATATAAATGTCGTAATGTGTGGGTCAACTGAGCTTTTGCTCTTTACCCCCTCCCACCTTCCTTAGGAATTAATTTTAATTATTTATATATGGGAATATATATGGTATTTTAACAATAAAATTTTAAATTAAAGTAAAAAAACGTCGAGAAAGAACAAAATAAATTTATTTTGAAACAATTTATTTTTTAATAGATTTTACAAATTGATTTTATAAAATCTTTTAAATATAATAATTGTCTCAAAATTATGAATACCGTAATTTACTCTATTTTAGACATTTTTAACCCCACCCCCCCCCCCCCCCCCATATAAAAAAAGGTCTACGAATATAATTATTTAGTTTATCTAGACCGATCCAATTCCATTTTCAAATATTTTATAAAAAAAAAATAAACCAAACTTTAAAAAAACCAAAAAAAAGCGGAGGCTTCAAGTCTTGAGGATGTGCTAGCTCGATATATTGCTAGATAAGCTGTTTATCCGGTTATGCAAAAATACGAAAATAACAAAATCAAAACTACAAAAAAAAGAGAAAATAAATATGAAAAATAACAATACCACCAAATACTTAAAACAACCAAAATAGGGTGTTCTAGTTTTAAAGCTGTTTAAAGCTTTTCTAAAATAAGTAAACATCCAAAAAGACTAGATTTTAATATAAACGATTTTTTCCCCCCATCTCAAAACACATATGCAAATTCGTAATATGCAATCATTTAAAATATTAGCTGGGGAGTATTCAGTTATTATTTAGCAATGAATCAAGTTACCATTTTATGCAAATGTTTATACGTAAATTGCTGAATGTTATCCAAGGGAGGACTTTTCAATATTTTACGGATATCCATTTTTGAGGCTTCTTTAAAAAAAAGATAAAAAATTTCCTTAAATAATGAAAAAATTTGATGTAAATGAACGAATTTTAAGGAATAACAAACATTTCCAGAGACACTTAAACCTTACCAAAAAAATAAATTAAGCCACCTCATCGATAAATTACAAGAATGTTACCCATTACAGTTGTAAGCTTTTTCAAATCGCTATTCCTTACTGCCTTATAGACCTAGAAGCAATTATCTCAGGTACACTAAATGCAACATTACATAAATCCGCACCTTAAAATCAACCGAAACATTTTTAACCTTCCTGAGCCGATCAGACTTCTTACCTCCTGTAATAAACTATAGGAATGGTGAGTTATCTTGGGATATCTCTTGCATCAAATCCTATTCGTCTTTCAACATAAATAATGACATCTTGCTCAGAGGTTTTTGGGACTGGGATATATCTAGAAACAGGAACCAGAACCTGTAACTATTTTAAGATATATTTAAAAATTCTAGAAATAGGTTTTGAGAAAAGTTCAAGTAATTTATACACTGGTATGACTAAATACTGTCTTGCTAAACTGTCTTGCTAAACTGTCTTGCTAAAAAGCAATTAATCATAATTAATC